GATATCCTACAGAATGGGAAAAATCTCAGCCATCTTATTCATCTGACAGAGGATTCTTATCCAGAACATGCAAAGAATCAAAAAAGTTAATACCAGAAGAACAAGTAATCCAATAAGAAGTGGGCAAATGAACTGAACTGACCTTTCTTAAAAGAAGTAGTACATCTGGCCACAGTAAATATATGAGAATGCACGATATCTTTAGCCTTCAGGGAAACGCAAATCAGAATTACACTGAAGCACACAATGAAACACGCCTGTAATCCCAGTTACTTGGGAGGCTGAAGCAGGAGGATCACAATTCAAGGCCAGCCTGGGTAACTTAGCAAAGCTCTGTCTCAAAAAATAAAAGGACTAGAAATGAAGCTACGTGGTGGAGTGCCACTGGGTTCAGTACTGCAAGGAAAAGAAAGGCACATTGAGATTCAATATCATACCAGTCAGAATGGCTATTATCAAGAAAACAACAAAAAATGCTGGAACCCTTATATGCTATTGATGGGAATGTTAAATTAGTACAGCCACTATGGAAAACAGTACGGGGATCCTCAAAAAACGAAAAGTAGATCTGCTAAATGATCTAGCCAACCTGGTCATACAGAAGGAATCAAGTTGGTATAAAGAAAAGAGACCCACCCCAAAAGAGGCTCTTATTTATTGTGGCACTATTCACAATGGCCAAGTAGTGGAGTTAGTCTAGATGCCCATCAACAGATGAACAGATAATGAAAATGCTACTTATATACACAATGGAGTACTATTCAGCCATAAAAATAATCTAAATTTTATCATTTACAGGAAAATGAATGAGCCTGGAAATCATCACCAAACCCAGAAAGAGAACAATTATATATTTTCTTTCTTATGTGCAATCTTAACAAGAAAAAGACAGTATAATAGTAGAAGAGGGATTTTTAAGGAAGGGGACTGGGAAAGGGCCAGTAGAGACATATAATCAAAGCACATTATATGCATTCATGGAAATGTCAGGGTCAAACCCGTTAGTTTATACACTTAATATGCACTAAAAATTAAACTTTAAAATTTTTAAATAAAAAAAAAAGCAATCAAGTTTCTTAGGTACTTATTACATTACACAACTAAGCATCCCTTACCTCCACCAAGTATAGCACTATAAAAATTCCTGCCTGTTTGCTAAAAGCCTCTACTTGCTTGAGAAACTTCCTTTTGTGATTTGGAGACAAAGCTTAAGTTACTGATGAGATTAAAAACAGATTTCATTATAAAAGTTTATGATGTTCCAGTCTGTTCAGTGTGTACAGTTGGAAGAACACTTTGCCTATCCAAAGTCCCTTATTTGATCTTCTCTTGCCCACTCTCCTGCCCACTGTACATCCGTAGACCCCTGCCTCTGTTCATATAGCTGAGAACCTGTCCATGATCATCCTCAGCCCGGGGACCTAGTTACAGGCTCCCATTTCTAATTTGTACTGAGAAGGCATTGAAGTGAATGCCTCCTGGGAATGCTTCTTATTAAAACTTTTTAGTATTAGTTGTAGATGGACACAATACCTTTATTTTATTTGTTTATTTATATGTGGTGCTGAGGATCAAACCCAGGGCCTCACTCGTGGGGGGCAAGCGCTCTACCACCGAGCCCCAGCCCCAGCCCCTCAGTCTGCTTCTTTTAACTTCAGTAACTTCTGTTCCTTCAGAAATGAGAAAAGAGGTAATAGGTTCCTCTGGCTCCTCCCTTCCTAACCATGTTTCACTCCCACTCGACACTCTACGTGGTGAAGGTTATACTTGATTAATATACTTAGGCGCTTAATTGTGTTCCATCACTGGTCACCACATTTTTTCATACCTCCAGAAGCCCCTTAGGAAAGGTGACTTCTAGCATGCACATTGAGACACTTCCAGAGCATCACAGAAGATCACATGCCAAATTAATGAATGAACTCTGAGCTTTTTGGTTCTGTTTCCCAAGAAGACTAGCTAATAGAATGTAATTGAGCAACGTAAATGTGGGAGTCAGACTGAGCATCCCAGCCCTGAGAAAAGGATGTGGTGGCATATCAGAGGTAACATTATATAAACCCTTTCCTGGGTATTTGGAAATCTCTTTGACAGAAGTTGGGAAACCAAAGCACAGACCTGAAATTACCAAGTTATGGAGGAAGGCCACTGGCAGAGAGTAGCACAGAGTCCTGGGCTCAGCAGACAGACTGGGCTCCTCCCACAATGCTCTGAGCTGCGGGTCAGGTCTCAGAGAACTCGAGTTGCATTACCTTACCCCAGCGTTGATATACCTCTAGCATCAAAACAATCATTAATGCCAAAGGAGAGAATAAGAGTTGTTTATTTATGTATTTAATGGTACTGGGAATTGAACCCAAGGGCCTGGTGCATGCTAAGCATGCACTGTATCCCTGAGCTATACCCAGCCCCAATAATACAACGTTTTAAATCACTGGAAACAATTCTCTCAAATAAGACACACTCTCATTTCTCTAAGCCCAGGTTTGGTCTAAGGTTGTTCATTATGAAAATCTTTATAATGTTTCTTCTCTATACACTTTTCTGGTCACTGTAACTCAAAAAGGAAAAATATATGTGTATATAGAGAGAGTAGTTAAAGTTCAAACCTGGGTGTAGTGGCACACACCTGCATCCCAACAACTTGGGAAGCTGAGGCACAAAAATTGCAAGTTTGAGGCCAGCCTCCGAAACTTAGCAAGGCTCTAAGCAACTTAATGAGACCCCATCCCAAAATTTAAAAAATAAAAATAAAAAGGACTGGGGATGTGGCTCAGTGGTAAAGTATCTCTGAGTTCAATCCCAAGTACCAAAAAAGAAAGAAAGCAAAAAGGGGGTCCAGAGAAGAGTAACGAAGTGTTAAGGAGGTTCAAGTTTCATCCAAATAGTCACAGGGGTTGGGGATAATATAGTGCTTGCCTCGCATGTCCAAAGTCCTATGTTCAATCCCCACCAAAAAAAAAAAAAAAAAAGTCTAAATAGGGTTGTTGTCAAAATAAATGGGGACTAAATAAATAAATAAACCATCCTGTATTAAACTACATATAACAAAGTTTTTCACTGTAACCACTTAAGTGTACAGCTCAGTGGCATTCACTGCGTTGACACTTAAGCAATCATCACCATCCATTCATCTCCAGATATTTTTCTTTATCCAAAACTGAAGCTCTGTAGTCACTAAGCAAGAATTCCTCATTCCCTTGCCCTTGAGACCACCACTCTACTTTGTTTCTAGTCTGTCTACCTCATATTGGTAGAATCATATAGTATTTATCCTTTTGCTCCTGAGTTATTTCCCGCGTTCACGTGACATGGTGTCTTCAAGGTTCATCCATGTTATTGCATGCTGCTTGTGTCAGAATTTCCTTTCTTTTTTCTATTTTTTAACTTTTTTTCTTTTTGCAGTGCTGGGGATTGAACCCAGGCCTCATGTTTGCTGGGAAAGTGCTCTACCACTGAGCTAAAAAGTCTCTCCTTCCTTTTTAAAGCCATTTAATATCCCAATGTATGTACATTTTATTCTTTTTTAAAAATATCTTTATTTCTTAGTTGTAGTTGGACACAAAACCTTTGTTTTTATTTATTTATTTTTATGTGGTGCTGAGGATCGAACCCAAGGCCCTGCACACGCTAGGAGAGCACTCTACCTCTGAGCCACAACCCCAGCCTGAACATTTTATTCTTTACCCATCTGTTGATGGATGTTGAAGTTGTTTTTACTTTTTGACTTTGTGAATAATGCTTTAAATATTGGTGTACAGTTCTCTGGTTTGATTTAAATTCATTTGGATATGTATAGAAGTAGAATTACTGAATCAGTGATTTTATGTTATTTGATTTTTTGTGTAGCGCTGAGGATATGAAATTGCTGGGTCATATGGGAATCTCGTGTTCCTTTTTGAGGAACCACAGTGACTACACCAATTTACATTTCCACCAGCAATGCTTAGAAGATCCAGCTTTCCATATTCTCTCTAGAACTTGTTGTTTTCTGTTTTTCTTTTTGTTTTGTTTTTGTTTTGTCTTAATAATAACTGTGCTAGTGGGTATAAAGTGGTATAAATGGGGACTTTTCTACCTGGAAGAAATAGACTGGGGGGGATACAGGTGCGTAGAGTTGTGAATACTTCTGCCTGTATGTACAGATGTGGTCACCAGAATCTAGGAATTTAGAATTTGGGCAAGAACCAATGAAACTCCAAGTCATGTACAATCACAAGAATGGGATCCTAATTAGAATAAGTTAAGCTCCATGCATGTATAATATGTCAAAATACTGTCATGTCTATCTAAAAAGAACAAATAGAAAAAACAATCTGGGCAAGGAATACAGGCAGAGTAATAAATGGTGTAGTGTAGGTACTGACCAGTCAAGAAGACCACCAGCCCCTTGCCTTCCTCATGTGTATAGGCTGAAGGTCAGCCTGGATGGGACCATACTGGGCTATACTGTGGTTAATTTGAAATGATGGAAAAAGTGACTTCTCACTCCAGTTATGTTGTCTCATGATGGGAACACAAGCTCAGATAGAAATAGCTTCTAGAATAAGTTTGGATACTTCACAAATGGGTGGTTAAAAATTTAAGAATTCTGTGTAATTTACCTCTTTACTTTTGAAGTTAACAGAGATGACTGTGCCTCTGTTTTTACCTTAGTTAGGAATTTGAAGCTCTCTGGACTCTTCTTGGAGGTCCTTGTGGCAATCACAGGGGAATGAAATTACTATTTCAGTTATTTAGCATTCAGCAAATATTTACAGTCCGCTCCTGCGCCAGGCCTGGCGATAAGTGCTAAGAATAGGATGGGGAGTTAAGCAACCCCTGCCCTTGTCCTTGTGGAACCATGGTCAAGTGGAGGAGTCAGATAACTGGTCACACAAAGAGATTGGTAATTTCAACTGCATCTGACTCTGAAAGGAGAAATACTTGAGACACTTCTCTCTTTCCCCTTGGATTGTTCACCCAGCCACTCAAAGAAATCTGCTTTCTTTTCTCTTCAGGAGCCTCCAAACAGGTGGCTTTGCCTGGGAGGGCGAGGTGGAGAACAACGCGTATAGCAAGGCTACCGGGGTGGCTCCCCAACACAAGTACCACCCCACAGCAGGCAGCTACCAGCTGCATTTTGCTCTCCAGCAACTGGAACAACAGAAACTTCAGTCCCGGCAGCTTCTGGACCAGAGTCGAGCCCGGCACCAGGTAATTCAAGATGAGCCCTTCCATGTGCTGTCTCTTCCTTCTATTGGTAAAAAAAAAAAAAAAAAAAAAAAAAATGCGTGAACGGGCTGCGTAGAGTTAACGTCCTGAAAGGTTTCCAAAGCAGCTGGCGCAGATGATTTGTAGGGAGTCTCCTCTCAGAACCGTTCTGGAGCCATAACATGGGCTTCACTGGAAGGTGATGTGGAACCATGCGTGACCCGGTTCTTTCATTTGTGTGTACAAAAGTCCCTGTTATAGTCTTTCCCCTTTCTGTTATGTGCTCTTAGTTCAGTAACTTCCCAGGGGTCTAATTCCAAAATACCTAAAAGCCAGTATGTTAAGCATCTTTCTTTCTGAATGTACTCTTTCTCTTCTTCCATAGAGTTGGTATACATATGTATGTATTGATCCATCAAGGAATAGATAACTTGGAAATGGTCACAAGTTAGAGTACCAGTCTTCTGTAAGTGACAGCGGGTTTATTCAACAGATGTTTTGTCAAATGCCTATCACAGGCTAGGCAATGTTTTATTAAACAGTGGGGCTTTAACAGGACCCAACACACAAGCATCCTTGTGCTATGGAACTTAGAGTGAAATCTTCATTCCCTGCTCACTGTCTGTGAAATAACAGAAACCCCTGAGCATATGTGTGAGGAGCTGTGCAAGTATATCACACTAATCTGTTGGCATGTCCCCAATCATTTAGAAGAAGAAGGGCCTTACAAAAGGTCAGATCACTAAGAATTAGCTTTGTTTTGATGATTCAGGATTATCACTAGAATCATTTACATGTTCTACAGATGTATTAAACTGAATTAATACTGATTCTGTAAGCTTCCCTATTTCCCTGTTTTTATTTAATTAAAAAAAATTTGGTTATCAATGGACCTTTATTTTATTTATTTATATGCAGTGTTGAGAATCGAAGCCAGGGCCTCACACATGCTAGGCAAGCTCTACCATTGAGCCACTACCCCAGCCCTCCCTATATTTTATGGAAAAAAAATACCTTCTATCAGTTTGATCTCTTATCACTTGCTTCTTTTTTTTTTTATAAAAATGTAGTTCATGTTACACATCAGTTAGTGCTGAATTAATACTTATTCAATGATAAAGGAAGCATTTCCCCAAGGTTTTTTATCCTCTGATCCTTTAAGTGAATTAATTATCATTATGCCCTGTATCTTTACTTTTTTCACTACTGTCCAGAATAACATAGGATTATTTAATTTTTTCAACATAGTTCATCACATGATTACCTTTATCTCTGGTATTTACTCTGTAAATTAACACATCATAATTGAGAAATGATAAATTCAAACATTTGTGAAATAGTTCTTTAAACTGTTTTTTAATTTTTTTTTTCTTTTAGTTGTAGTTGGACACAATACCTTTATTTTATTTACTTATTTTTATGTGGTGCTGAGGATCAAACCCAGCGCGCTCTACCACTGAGCCACAACCCCACCCCCTTTAAACTGTTTTTAATGGAGAAATTTCCAGACTTTTCAATCTGGAAGTATAGAATATGGCATCTCATTCTGATCACAACATCATCCTTTGCCATGTAGAAATTTCCTCATCTAGAAAATCTTTGGGACAGTAGAAGCACGTAAGCCAGTTTGCATTTTCACAATTGCAGATAGAAATGTGTGTACTAGTTTTTTGTAGTTTTTTGTTGTTTTTTTTTTAAATCTGAAGTGTTTTACACTTCCAAATTTCCTGTCATTTGAGTCCTTGAGAATGCCACCTTGATCAGGTGCTGGATAGTGGAGACTTCGCTGTACAGCCTTACTTCCCTCATGTGGCTCCAGGGAATATAGACAGTTGGTCCCTTTTAAACCACACTTCAGTACCTTGAAATAGTGGACAGTTTTTTTTTTTGTTTTTTTTTTAATGAAAGGAGATATTTTGCAGGACATTAAAGTTTGGGGAAAAGAGAGGCAGTTTTGCTGATTTTTACTTTGAGAAACTGCTTTACTTTTAAGTCCCTCTCATGCTTTTGATTAGCTTCCAGCAACTCACATTCCTTTGAAAATTTAGAGTACTGCTGTTCTTGTGTGGATTTTTTTTTCACTGAGGATTACACTGGTTCAGTTTCACTGAATTATGAAGTATATGGAAAATATGTTTTTTAGAATCTGTCAGAATATCCATCTTAAGGAGGAGGCAGAACTCCCAAGAAGGGAGTTATCTCGTGTCTCCTGGAGAAGGAACAGAAAATCATTCATCATGATTTTATATATGTATATAACATCATTTTGTTCCTTCTCCCTGTTTTTCTAAACCACAACTGATTTAGGTAAGAGTGAGTAAGGGTGAAGTTTTAGGTCTGTGGGGAGAGCTAGAGAAACTAAATTCTGTGAGCTTAAGGAGTTTATAACTAATTAAATAGCAAATAAGATATTAAATGTTCTAACATGAAGTATATTTAGTAACTTAGAGCACTTTATTTCAGAGGATATTTAGAATCACTCCACAAGAAAAAAAATAATCTTTTAGATTTTTAAGCCTTTGGTTTTAGCTTATCTGTGCTAGACCCGCCTGAGAATTATCACCAAATTGTTGTTTTCATTCTGAGTCTGTCCTCTATTTCTGTCCTTGAGATAATCCTTTAGATAGATATGGTACTTCTCTAGTAAACTCCTTGCACATTGGAGTCACTTTCCTTGAGTATAGGTTATAAAATTTGGTTAGCTTCCTGTTTGAGACTAGTGACCAGAATTAAAATCAAAGTTACCTAGCATCGGGCTGGGGATGTGGCTCAAGCAGTAGCATGCTCGCCTGGCATGCGTGCGGCCCGGGTTCGATCCTCAACACCACATACAAACAAAGATGTTGTGTCTGCCGACTAAAAAATAAATATTTTTTTTTAAAAATTCTCTCTCTCTCTCTCTCTCTCTCTCTCTCTCTCTCAATCTATCTAGAAGAGAAACATGATTTTTTAGAACAGGATGTTAAGGGGGTCTTCTAGGATGGTATGCTATGGTATGGTGTGGTATGATATAGTCATTGTTGTTACACATAGTGCCTTGCATACAGTGATCTCCTAGTATACATTTGGGGAAATATCATGTGGCCTTTCTCCCATTATATGCAAAGAAATTCGCCCATCCTCTTCTGCCTCTAATCAGAGCACTTAGCTTTCCAGCTGGTTGCAAGTGTTCATGTCAAGCAGGCCCTTGGATTCAGGCTGTGAGTTTGAACATGGGCATCTCTGACCACTGATACAGAGTGAGTTTGGGTCTTCATCTCCATCTAGCATTGTGCTTACTCAGAAATATAGAAATCATCATGACCTGAATCCACCCCTGCAGAAGACTGAGCCTGTGACCTGGAAATGAGAGGAAAGTAGTACTGAGCCATTGGCAGAGGTATCCAAGGATAGATACAAGAAAATTGGGTGTGATCCAGTCCTTTGGATGAAGAGCATGAGAAAGAAAAAAAAGACAAAACTGAAACTATGAGCTGATATTCCCTGATGGATGAAACTTCAGCAATTTGAAAAACACTGTTTTAAGTCAATGCAGAGTCCATGACTTTTTCTGCAAATAGCCAGATAGTAAATATTTTAAGCTTCGTAGGACATAGGGTCTCCATTACAGCTACTCAATTCTGCCAGGGCAGAGTAAAAACAACCATGCACAATATGTAAACGAATGGCTGTCTTCCAATAAAACTTTATTTACAAAAAAGACTGCAAGCTGGATTTTTCCTGCAGGCCCTATTTTGCAGTCACCTAGTCTATAGCAACATCTACTTAAAGAGCTAGTTAAAACTAATCCCAGCTACTTGAGAGGCAGAGGCAGGAGGATTACAAGTTTGAGGTCAGCCTCAGCAACTTAGCAAGGCCCTACTCAACTTAATAAGACCCTGCCTCAAAGTAAAAAGGGCTGGGGATGTGGCCTAGTGGTTAAATGCCCTGGATTAAATCCCAAATACCAAAAAAAAAAAAATTGATTAAAATTTTAAATTAAATTTTCTTCCCTCAGTTATTTGTTTTCTGTCTTTTGGAAGGAAGATGGGATGTGTTAAAATTTAATGTCACCCTTATGAAATATCAGGCAATCATTTTTATAGAACTTTGTTGCCATCTTTTTCACTTCATCGACCACAGTATCCTCGTAAATAAATGATCAAAATACCTCTTTTCTCATTCTTATCAGGGTACATTCTGCTCACCAATCTCAGCTCCCAGGATCAAGTCTCAGGGTGGGCAAGAGAGAAATAGCGGGACAGATTCCCTGCTGTTTTGTTAGTAACAAGCCAGCACTTCATAAGCACTTACTGTATCCCAAGTTCCTTTCCCAAGCACTGTTCTATTCTTGGTGTTGTTCATATATTAATTCATGTAAGATGAGTTTCAGGATGTTGGGGGGCAAGGCCAGAGTCTTGGTAGTTGGGGATCTCGAGGGGCTGCTATAGACTGGCACAGCCAGCGTGTGTCGGCTTCCTGCCCCGAAGGACAAGGCAAAAACACTCTTCTTTCAGCTGAGTCGGGGGCCCTGCTTGAGCAACAGTGACTACCGGTGACATCAGCATGAGTAGCTCTCCACGCTGGGGTCCGTGAGAGGCTGCAGCGGCTGCGAAGCCCGGCTGACCTGATTCTAATTGCCGACATGGAGCTGATGTTATTCTTGGCGCAGGCCAGAGCGATTACTCAGTAGTTTCTGTTCAAGTGATCCTTTGTTACACTTGTGCTCCCAACCCGTTCCCCCCCACCCACTGGGGCCTTCCCTCCCTCTCTTTTCTCCCTCATCCAGACCAAAAAAAGAGCCCAGAAAGCAGAAAATTAAGGACATTTTGATGGTCATGGCAAAACTGCTGGTTTCTTTGATTGACAACAGGGGAGAGAAGCACTTTAAACCAGCTTAGTTCTTGAGCGGCTCTGTTCTCTTTCCAAAGCCCTTCAGTTTTTAGCAGACTTAATTTTCAGCATGAGTAAGGTGACTCAAGGTAGGAGAAAACTGCATCCCAAGTACCTCTCATCCTTCCACA